CACACACACACACACACACACACACACACACACACACACACACACACACACACACACACACACACACACACACACACACACACACACACACACACCGGCCCCCATCTCCTTCCCACCTCATGAAGCAGGAACATCCTTTCTTCTCCTGTCCTGGAAATGTGCTTGTCATGAGCCTGTCATCCCTAACTCTGCACACTTCTTTATTTTATTTTTGAAATCGATTTTATTAAAGGCCCTGGGATCTGGGCGCTCTGACGAGGAGCCAGGGTGTTGTTTAGACCCGTCTCTTATCCCACTGGCGGCTCTCCTTCCCTGAAGTCTGACCGATTCGGTCTCAAGTTTTAAAATAATTCCAGTGTCAGTTCTTGGGGGTTTTCATTTGCTGCTTGCTTGTTTCTTACCAAAATTAGTTTTCTTCTTCTTGGGCCAAAAAGGCCATGTGTGGCAGTGGAAAGAGCGCAGGCTTTGGAGACAAGCGGAGCTGGGTGCAAATCCTGATCCTGCTGAGTCCTCACGACCTGCCCTGGGACAGGTCATTTTTTCACTGCTCTATGCAACAGTTTCTCCCACTGGGAAAGGGGGGCTGATAATCTTTCCATTCTCGTAGAGTTATAGGGAAGAGCATTAAGTAAGAAACTCCACGAACAGGGTTTTCCAGAATGCATGGTGTACGGGAGGTCTGCAGGAAATGTTGGCTACTTTTGCTTCTTCCTCTTTCATTCTCCTTGACTCAGTTGATGGTTTTCAGTGTCTCTTTTTTTCCAAGGACAATCCCAGAAGAGCTATTCTCTATGAGGCAGGTTGGGGTCCCACTAGCCCTGAAAAGAATGAATACCCAGGATCATTTGGGGAGAAATAGGATGAAAAGAGAGCATGGTCCACACCCCTGAGTTTTAATTAAGCACAGCTGGGCACCAAACCTTCCATCCATGCTGCCAGAAGGTGTGATGGAAGGATTCAGGTGACACAGGCATGGAGGCGCAGTCTCTCAGGCAGGAAGTCTGGGTTCACATCCCACTACTGCCACTTCTGCCTCTGGGACCTTGGGCAGAATGTTCACATCCTCTCCTTGTTTCACAAGTTCAGGATCTTCAAAATGAAGATGCATTAGATCCAGCCCAGCTTGAGAGTTCTGAGAATGCGTACTTCTGCCACGGGAATTTTTTCTCATTCTCTCTCTTCTCCTCTGGGGCTCTTGCTCTTACAACTTCACCTTTGTACCGTACCTCTCTGCATCTCTGTCCGTCTCCCCTTTCCTTTTTTTTTTTTTTTTTTTTTTTTTCGGTTCGCGGGCCCCTCACTGTTGTGGCCTCTCCTGTTGCGGAGCACAGGCTCCGGACGCGCAGGCTCAGCGGCCATGGCTCACAGGCCCAGCCGCTC